GGTGCGGATGTCATGGCGGCGTTGTCTTGTGCGTCTGCTGTGTTGTCTGTTCTAGTGACGCTTTGTGTAGTATGAATGTTTTCTTGTAGATCGTGTCCTTCGTTGTGCTGTGTGTTCATGTCGTTTGATTGTATGTTGTTTAGGGTGTTCACAAAATTATCTTGCTTATTAGCATTTGCTAATTCGCCACAATTATCGTCTGGGTCTGATTCACTGTCGGTATTGTAACGCAAATTATTTTCGGCTGCCTTCCATGATAACTTGGGCTTTGGTCGTAAATTGTACCTTTTATCATCGTCACTCATATTGATTTAATAAATGATTATTCCCTGTGTTGTTGTATATATTTTTTATTTGTGTATTTGCAGGTTTGTTAGTTGTGTGTTAATTTGGTTACTAGGGCCTATCTTAAATTTTGTAGGTTAATCGTAGGTTAGGCCTAGATCAGAATTTTCAATAGCCCACTCGTTGGAACGCCATTTTGCAACCTACTCCTCTTTATTAACGGATTTTTTAAATATAAACTTATCTAAAATAGATAATAAAATTCCAATAAAGTTACAATAAAATATATTTAGGTTCTATAGCTTATAATTCAACAATCTCAAGGGGCTATGACGGTTAAATTATAGTTTGGTCTAGGTTTTGGATGGGCTAGATAACAATTTTAAAAGCAATGATCTTAATCTAGGGGTTGGTTCGTGCCGGGTATGAAATTCTGATAGGCTAATTAACTTAATTTATACAGTACTAATGTAGGCTAAATAATATGAGATAGGCTAATAATGAGAGTCAAAAATTTAGGCTATAAGTTCTTAGTTTGAAAGTCACTTGAATTTAGTCTCTATTCATAATGGTGTGATGGTGGTTGAAAATTGATGATGGCTTTTAAAATGTTTATTGAAGTTGATATTACCAATTTTTGTTGAATAGTTATTATCTTCTTTCTTAATGTCTCTTTATAATCAATATTTATATATGTTCTGAATGTTAATTTTATAGGCTTTTGAATATTTAAATCACTGGAGACTTGGCTCCCACATCCATCTCTATATATATCTTCCACCAAAAGCACATTTTCTTCCTTTGTTTTAGCTTTTCTTCCAACAATGCTACTTCACACCTGGACACTGGACAGTACAAAAGAAATATTTCCTACCTAGACACTATTTCATTTTAGAATATTATTTTAGAATACAGTTTTTCTTCTTCACTAATTTATATTTAATTGAATTTAAATATTTTTTTTGAAAATACAGTAATTAATAAATATTGAAAGTAATTTAGTTACAATTCACATTTGAATACATTCATGTTTTATCTCATGTTTATGTGTAAAAAAAACAAAATGGCAAATATCTGGTTAACGAAGCGATTTTGGGAAATTATTTATTCTTAATTTTCTTTTTATTTTGACCCATAGAACCATTTCCTGGAGTTTGGCTGTTTACTTACGTGACACCCTATTGGATGTCACACGTAAAGTGAACCTATAGCTAACTTTTTTATTAGGAGTTTTAGAGTTGACTTCTTAAGGAGCACTCCCCTTTACTTTTTAGATTTTTTAGGGATGATTTCCAATTTTAAAATATGTTTGTCATTTTCCAATATGGCCGACAACTTTGTTATTTCTTATGGAACACCCTGTGGTTTAGGATCGTTTTAAAATTTAAATGCAATTTAAAAACATTTTTAATTTTGACATTTTCTCTTAAAAACTACTTGTTTAGGAGTTACAACGTGTTACACTTATGGAAAAAAGGCTTGCTGTGTACATTCCGCATCCTGTAGCTCATAAAAGAATAAGTTTATAGAGAAAATGCAAAGAACAAAAAAGTGTTAAAATCACATTTATGTTTTAAACAGACCATGAAATACAGAAGAATATAGAAATATAGAAATATAGAAGGTTCAAATATTAAAGTTAGCTGCCATATTGGAAAATGGTGGCCATTTTTTTACAAGGAAATCAACATTTTTATCGTATTTTATTATTTTATTAGAATGTAGTTGCAATTTTTACAACCGTTCATAGTTGATAGGTATTGTATAGTATGATTGTGTTTGACATTCAATAAAGAATTTTTTTTGTAGTATATTATATAAAAAAAAACGCACCCTTTACGAGCCTCCCTTTTTGAAAAAAGCTCCTACCAAAATCAGAGACTCAAATCAGTGTAACTTCATTACACATAAGGGAGGTCTATTGAATAATTTAGCACTCATTAGGAACTTTTTATGGGTATCCATGGTTTTCCTGCATTTAAAAAAACAACTTTTTTAGAAATAAAAGAAAAATATCCCATTTACACCTCAATATCTCCTTACCCGTTATAGGTAGATAGGTATTGTATGGTATCATCTTGTTCCACATTTAATGTAGATTATTTGTGTAGTTCATTATATTTTAAGAAAAACGCACCGTTTTCGAGATATTTGTAAAATAGTAAAAAACGCCCCATTCCCGTCCCTTTTCTCATAAGTGGAGGGTTCCTTCCCAAATCCGACACTCAAATCAGTGTAACTTTTTTACACATATTAAGAAAGGTTTATTGAACAATTTGGCACTAATTAAAAAAATTTGTATGGGTGTCCATGGGTTTTCTCCATTTAAAAAACAACTTTTTTAGAATCTTTAGAAAAAAATCACATTTACCCCTCAATATCGCCTGAACCGTTCATAGTAGATAGGTATTGTATGGTATTAATTTGTTCGAAATTTAATGTAGATTGTTTTTGTAATTAATTGTATTTAAGAAAAACGCACCGTTTTTGAGGTATGGGCGAAAAAGTAAAAAAAGTCCTATTTTCAACCCATTTTCTTTAAACCCTACTTCCCAAATCCGACACTCAAATCAGTGTAACTTTTTTACACGTATTAGGGAGGTATATTGAACAATTTGGCACTCATTAGAAACTTTTTCTATGGGTGTCCATGGTTTTTCTTCATTTAAAAAACAAATGTTTTTAGAAATTTAAGAAAAAATCACATTTACTCCCCAATATCTCCTGAATTGTTCATAGTAGATAGGTATTGTATGGTATTATTTTGTTAGAAATTTAATGTAGATTATTTTTGTAATTCATTGTATTTGAAGAAAAATGCACCATTTTTGAGGTATTTGCGAAAAAGTAAAAAATTACCTATTTTCACCTCCTCCCGCCCAAACCCGACACTCAAATCATTAAACTTATTAAAACATGACAGCATTTTTTATTTCACGATTCTGAACCAACCACTTGACTGATTTTCATGATTTTTCTGTTAAAGAAAAATAATTTTGAGAACTAGGGAATGTTGAAGCCATAATTTTAGTTTAGGGTTTCAGTTTTTTAGAAATGAAGTTTTAATTTTTTCAAAGTCTAGCAGCTGACGCTAATATTCTAGACTAGCTTTTGGTATAATACCATTTGCTTAACGTAACAGCTGTAAACGTAAACATTCAGCGTTTGTGACACAAATTCAGCATTTGGATAAAAATGAAATTACATACATAGGGTTGACTTATTTATACTATGTGTAATTGTATAATCATTGTTGTGACTCAAATGGGTGGCCTGGTATCTATTTTTTATGAGATCGGCGCGAGCCTGGCGGCGTCATAATGAAACATTCTTTCCTTTCTGGATAACCCTCGTATTTTCCTACTCTATTCTAAACAATTCGAGCAGTAAAATAATTTACATAGGTTTTTTATTTGAAGAGTCGTGGGCAGAGCCTCGATTTGTATACAGCAATGGTCTTACGTATCTCTGTGGTCTACTTATCTCTACTAATCTTACCTTATTTCCTATAATTGATGACAAAATCATAGACTAAATTAAATATTATTATTACTATTATTGTTATCATCATCATCTCTACTGATAAACACGCAGCTAAGTGTCAATTGTGAAGCTGATGTTATTGAAATCCAATATTTAATTCAAATCACCATTGTTTCAGAAACTTAAAATTATTGAGAATCAAAGTTACTGCTATGATGACTATCGAGAAAGTAACTGACGTTTTGAAATCTATTCTATATATATAATACGATAAGATTTTTGTAAACAGAACTGCTCCCTCATTTTTGGACCGATTTTGATGATTAAAGTGTGAAAAAAATGGCCCTGATCTGTAGTTTTGCAAAGTGTTTTTCATGTACAACAATTTCATGGTAATCTGCCTTTTTCACCACTTTTGGCTATATTTTATCATATTATTCTAGACAGATCATCATAAGTTCGTGAGATTATTGTCATACATGTTTTCAATCATTGGACAAATCTTCGATTGTGTAATACAATACAAAATAATACAAGTGCAGAAGTGTCTTATTAGCTTTAACATTAACCCCACAACCAATTTCTCAAAATTATGCTAGAGGGTTATTCATTGGCACAGAAGTACGATATGAACTGACGCAACGTGACGAAGGAAAGATCAAACTTACACTGTAACGGATGGACCTCCCTTTTAAGTTAGAACGTGTATTCTCAACAAAAAGATATTTTTTTTCAAATAAAATCATAGATTAATCTTTATTACACTGATGAAATCGCGGAAGTTTTTAACTAAAAAAGATCAACCAATATGATTTGAACACTATCTAAAGGTTCTTCCAAAAGAAGAGATACCAGTTAACATACTAATAATAACTCCGATGACGTACGGTATGGGAAATATTTTATCCATTGAATGATCAACCATATTTGGTTAGTAACGCAATTAATATCATTATTTTTTAAACTCTAAACAATTGTAAATGCTCAAAATATGTATAATTTCACTCAATTTAGCGCAGTTAGATGAATTAGCGTAAGCCTTGAAAGTAACCGTCGATTTCGCCTAGACTGGTTTCACCTAGTAAACTATATACAGTAGAACCTCGATAAGACGTGTCACATGGGGATAAGAAAATAGTCTTGTTGTCGAGGTGCTCTTTATGTCGAGGGTCGTGTTATTGAGGTCATTTCGGCCAGCAGTCATGATATCTATATGTCTGTCGTTTTTTCAGTGTTGCCTTATGTGAAAAGTCCAGAGGAAAGCCCAATGTTCTCTGTGCAGTTCACCCGTACTTGGCAGGACACTTTAATGGTTTCATTACATAATTTCCTAGCAATTATTTACCAGGTAAATATTTTCTTAATTTTCGTAGTAAAATTGCTGTAGTAAAAATCTATTTAATAAAGTATTTATGCCTCATACTAGTTTTAATAGATTATTTATTCTGTTGAACAGTGTAACGTGTAAAATTTTCATCATTGAATACTCATAATTTAATGATTCATTTGTTAGCATTTTTTTATATGTACAGAATAAATAACATCGTTTGTTGCCTTTGTTTGTATAAAATGAATAGGGCTGTGCATAAAGTAGGCCTAAGTGACATTTTAGAATAAAACAAAAAAAATCATAAAACGAAACTTCTACAAAACATTCTGAAAAACAGTTTATAGATACTTATAACGATTATCCTATTAGTCTATATAATTTAATAATGGCTTAATTTACGTTGCAAATGCATGAGGTATTTGAAGGCCTGTTTGTAAAAATCTATTGTTAATGATTTCCACAACAACTCAATGAACTTATAGTAGTTTGCGCAACGATCGAAATACAGTCCACTCGTGTTAATTCAAACACTCAATAAATCCATTCAATAAACTTCCACTCAATAAACTTTCGATAATTCAAAATAAAAGCTCAGTCCATAGAGAATCTCTCAATATTTCAAATTTTTACCATGTATTTTGATACACTAGGTATTCCAAAGTCCAAATAGAGGGCAGGCCAATTTGGAGCACGCAGTAATTTGAAGTTTCGTCAGAAAAACACTATAATTTGAAGTCACACAGTAATTGGAAGTTTTCTCAGCAAATTATAATATAATTCAAAGTCAGGGATCCCTTCATGTTATAACAGGAAACTATACATCTTGTTCCAACGGTAGTTTTGGACGTTTTGATGTTTAGTTAGTGATAGCAGTAGCATAGACTAACCAACACCAGTAGACTTCTCATCCCATTGTAAATTTTGAAGCACGTTTTTCGTGTCTAGTTCATGTACGTGACACATGGGCGCTAATGTCGACGAAACTTTGTTTCTATTATTTAGGGTTAATTTCTTGATTTGGGCTTTACTGTTTGGTTATATAACTAGGGGACAAGTTATTGTTTATGATTAGATCGTATTATTTGGTTAAACGAGGTTTTAAATGGCTGTAATAACGGGAAACAGATTGCAAACAAAACACAACCTCTACATAAACCGTACAGAACTAACAATAAAATTGTCTTCAGCTGTTCCATAAGGATGAGAAATCTACTAAGGGAGTATGTTTTATCTATGGCAGTAGTTATCGTCTGGTTGACAGTGCTTGCGGTCAAGCACAATTTTGAGGTAAGGTTCTTTCCACAATGCTTACAGTACATTCATTATTGTTATTCTATTGCATGTCATTAGATCCAAGCCTAAAACCCAAACTACAATAATGTTTTAACAAATCCCTACCACTGATAAAATAGAAGGATCTGAAAACAAATTTTACCAGATTGAAGTAACACTGGTACATTAAGCAGCAAGCGAAACAACGTCTCACGGCAGTGGCTAACCTCACATTTTTATTTTTTTTTTTTTTTTCTTGTCCTAGGACGCTAGGCACGAGCCTAGGATTGTTTTTCACATTACTTCAGGCTAGACCTAGGGGTTGCGGCATTATCACTTAGATAAATCCATTGGTGACTTGGCGGGGATCGAACCCGGGACCTCAGGGACTGAAGTCCCGCGCTCTAACCACTACGCCAGCTCGCTCCCCAACCTCACATTGGATGGAACAATAGTTTGTAAATAGTGCTTTGACGTGTGAGAATATGTCGCACGCCACTGGAAAGCGCCAGCGGTGACGAGATTACTCGTCATGTGCAGTAAACTTGTTTTAAACCTATTTTTGTAGTTTGCTGAGTTCCGTTTTGTTGAAGCCTTTTGTTGTGCAGAACCATGGCCAAAGCTAAATTATTTGTTGTTTTATCATAGAACCTAAGCATAAATACAAATCCCTTTCGATTGCGGAAATAAAAGAAGTGATCGTGGTAGTAAAAAGTGGTGGAGTCAAGTCAGAAGTTGTACAGTAGAACCCTATGTAATTCAAATGGTTTATTTTTCTCCCGATAAATCAAACTCTTGATAAATAAAAACTAGGGATGGACGAGATTGGATTTTTAGTTCGAGACGAGACGAGACGAGATTTTTTATTTCTCATAAAATTTTGAGACGAGATCGAGACGAGATTTCTCTTCTCATACACAACGGGAAATGCACGTTCAAAATTTTTACCTGATTTTGTAACATTGTTAGATGACTGTTTAAATACTAAAATAATGATAATAGGCAAGAATATTTACAATCTTTCATTAAATAACATCAGCATAACATTTTTTTATTAATCACGCCTAACTTATTAAAAATGCCTACGATTAGGAAACATGGTGATATCAGTTAGGATAGAGTTCAACTTATCCTAAAATAAAATAAATCATAAAATAAAAGCAATATTCATTTTTATAAAATAGTTACTTGTTTTGACTTTTTTTATAGTAATAAAACATTCCTCACACTGCTTACACTTAACAAAACTTCTTAAATGTTATTAAAGTAATATTATTAAAATAATGAAAGTAATATTTACATTAAAAGAATTAATTAAATAAGAACGCCTTCGAAAAGGAAACGCAACTACAACACGCTCCTGTATTGCGGGTATTGCATTGACTTTCTGCAGGCGTTTTTAATTTTTTTTTTTTTTTTTTTTTTATTCTTGTCTCGATAAAAATCTCGGCCAAAAAGTAATCTCGTCTCGTGTAACGAGATTGAAAATTTCCCGAAAATTTCCCGAAATTTCGAGACTTGACCATCCCTAATAAAAACTCTTGATAGTTCAAATTTATTTGCTTGGCCCATCGATTTAGAATTATCAAGAGTGTACTGTATTTATGGGGGTAGCGTACACTGCGCTACCTACACAGGACAGTTTTTTAATTACGAACAATCACTACTCATAACTTCTATGAGAGATTGCCACTGACAGTAATGCAACGAATCATTGTACCAAACACTAATTGCACCACTCATTAACAATTGAATTGGTCTTAACAGCTGATTAGTTGAAATTCGAAGCATTACAATTTTACTTAATTTCTCTCAATCCTTGAACCACATTGGTCCATTACTCATGTTGTTAAGTAAACATTGTGTTAAGTGAATCTTTTAAATTCTAAGGATTGAACTGAATCAACTAGTTTAAAAAACGGTTGTAGGTAAACTTATTTAAATGTGGGAGCAATATTTACAGAACCATGAAACAAAATTTTTTACATTTGATATTTCCCTCCAACTCGCCAGTAACAATGCAAGGTCTATTACTGAACACTTCTTGGTAAAAGTATTCTCATATCGCTCATCAGTATTTTTATCAGTGTAACGCTTTTTTCCTTGGATTAGCCTGCTCTAAGCCAAATGTTACATTATCTATTAAAAAACTAATTATTAAGTGTACAGGTAGTTTTTTTCATGTGCATGTGTTAAAATCTTAACTCTTACTTACCTGAATTAAAATGTCGTGGATTAATGATAATAAGGTGCGTTTACATTAATTCAAGTTCGCATACGAGTACAGCTCACATTCCTCCTCGAATAAGTGTCAACCAAAAATTTACTCGCATGCTAGTGGTGGAATGCGAGCAAGAATGACATTTTGTCGTTTGAGTTACTTTCCAACATCGAGAAATGTTCGCATACAATATCTTTGTGAAGCCCAGTTTGTGAAAATGTAGGTATAGTGAAAAAAGGATGTTTCTGTTTGTTTTTAGCTTTTGTGTTTACAGTGATGGCTAAGTTTAGTGATGAGTATGTTAAATTTTCACAGACCACCAAATCACATTGAATAATTTCACTCATACTACTTATACATTATACATACTTATAAATTTTTACATAGTTCTTGAATAAGTTCACTCATTATGCACACTAAACATAAACATATTATACACAGCAATCATATCACAGCCAATGTGATTGCTGAATATTGCTGAACTTTCGCCTACAACTACATCACTCGCGAATGCTATTATTATTCCAGTAACAACAACAATGTAAACGCTGCTGGAATTCGATCTGTCATTCTATACTGGAATAGTAACTCGCTCGCAATCGCATTCTGAGCCGTGTCAGTCCGACTCGCTTTCAAGATTTGTTATGTTTGTATGACGTTCAGCTCTGTTCTGGTGGCCGTGGCTGAAGATTGGAGGGGGAAGGGACGCCGTGTCGTTCTTCCTCGGCTCTTCTTGGTTCCTTCTTCTATTGCTGGCCTCCATTAATTCAACAACTTCTCCATTTTGGCAGTTTGCCACCAAAATGTTTTTCCCTTGTATTGTCCTAAATTTATCAATGTTGTTATTTTATTAACATGGTAGGCTAGTTTATTAGCTGTTGACACCAGCAAGCCAGGGCCCTGCCCTAGGGCTTACGTAACCTGAATGGAGGATCAGACTTCCCTGTAACCCGGACCATGACCTCAATCCATGATGATGGGTGACACCGCAACTTGCTTCTAACTGCCGTTTGGTCCATTATCCAACTGTGACCACTGATTCAAAAATGGCCTGGAGTTCTACCACTGGTACCTTTGGCAACTCACCTCTTCGGGAACTACCTTCAGTATGCAGGTGCTATCAACTTCATTCTATATACTTCAGTTTAACTTGAGAAGCCATAGGCCTACACGATGACTTTCATCCTTTCAATTTACTTCTACAATTTGTTTGGCCATTTAATTCTACGAAAGAACAATAGACTCAGCTTTTAACCAGTGTTACTTAGTGCATTTCATTTGAAAGTAAATCGAAGCCATGGATCGGGTGTCGACAATTTTAATATTCATCGTCTACGCAGCTCATCTAGGCCTATTTCTTAAATCTTAAAAGTGTCTATTATTGTGTTATTGTTTATATGTAATATGTTTTCTATGTGTATTTTGTAGCATTTATTCATTTTTTTAAAGTGAGAAAAGGGATGGCCATCCAAAAATAAAAATAAAGGATAAAGTAAAATCACAACTTAGGCTAATATTGATTGGC